GCCGCCCGCCGCGCCGCCGCCGCGCGCCGAGCGCCAGCGCGGGGGCATCAGACTCCCGCGCACGTTGCGCTCCGGCCGCATCAGGATTATGTACAGCTGCGGGAGAATGGCCGGTTACCGCTAGCCAACGACGCGGCGGGCGGCCGTGTCCACCGACGCACCTTCGGCGAGAAGAGGCAGACGAGCGTAACGGTGGCGCTCAGCGAGATGGTCACGGCCATGCTGGTGACGCGCAGCGGCACATGTGACGCCGTGCCGAAGTACAGCGGCACAAATGCCAGCCAAATCACGCACGTCGTGTACATCGTGAAGCCTGCGCACGAGTGGTAACGTTTCAGTGTTCTCTCTTCGATGCTAGGGTAAAGCGCTGCATTTCGTTTGTACTGCACCTATATGTTTGCTCTCGTTGAAAGCCTCGGGGATCTTTCTCGTGAGCACAGCGTAGACGGTGCAGACGAGTACGAGGGCACTAGGGTACGAGAAGGCGATGGCGATGGAGGCGCCCACGTGCGAATCGCACACCAACAGCTGCTGTTCGCGTGACGGGAAGTGCCGCACGGCGCGCGCGGGTGACACCACTTGCCACACTGCCATTATCACCACCTAAATGTTCATATTTTATGGTTTGAGATACCATTGAAAGAGGTAGATGTTTGTTAATGTTTAGCATTTTCCCTGCGCTGAACTGAACGCGTTCCGTAACGTTTTATTCATCGTCTGACGACTGTCGTTCTTGCTCTTCCCATTGTCACGATATTCTGTCGTCGTAACGTCAAAAGTCGTGAACGACAGTTAATCGTGTTGTATAATATGTGAACAACTTCATTTGAATATATAAGCCACTTTAAACTGCACCACCATCTGTCGTCACGACATAATGGCAACACGCCCTTACATTTACATTTTTTAATGACGGAAAACTGTGTGTACGTAGATGGAAAATTATATAACCTGAATGGAAACCAGAATGGAGCATATCACTAGTTGTGACTTCGGTGAGATGAGCGACGGCCGTCGAGCCGAGCGCTTGCTTGCTGCGAAAATGCGGGCGATACGGTTCGTTTTTGTGAGGAGCGCCGCGTACACCACCGTAAAGCAAAAGCCTGTGCCAAACCTGATTATAAAAAAACCGATTAAGAACATAACGTGATAGACCATACTAAAAAAAAACAAATGCATACGGAAATGGAGTATACCTCTGTAAGGCGCAGAGTGCGTCAGTGGGGCGTTGGACGAGCCCAAACGTGAGCAGATAGCATGTGAGGATACCTGCCAACAGCACGAATGACAGCTCACGACCGCTGGCACGCACCACTGGCGTGTCACCATGGACGAACCACACTCCGATCACAAACCTGTTAGGAAACGACATTGTGAATTACAAAAGTAAATCGAGCAGGCATGATTTAGTAGCAGGACAGCTCCTTGTGAAAGAGCTCGTCCAGGGAAGTACTGCCATCTTACCTATTTCTGCCGCCAAGCAGTAAAGTGAGCATTTCTACGTTCCGCTTTAGATGGAAAAGGGTGCTGGTGAAATTACACGCACTTGGGACTCGTCAACTAATGTCTCGGGCGCAGTGGCAGTGCCCATTATATAAAAAAATATCAAGGCGAAATTGCTTACATTGTGGCCGAAATACCAATGCCAGCGAAGGTCATAGCGGCGATGGCGGGCGGTGCCGTCGGTTGCAGGTGCATAGCGGCCAGCGGCACGCAACGCGTGCGCCGTGAGTCTGGCAGAGTACCGCGTGGACATTCCACACACGCCGTCTCCACGATCGGTGACCGAATCTGTTTGAACGTATCGTAAAGGTCAACGAGCCAGTTTAACCTCTCACTTTTAAAAGGATACCTCGAGGAAAATCACCACTTTTTAATCGACTTCAAAAAAAGAAAGAGGTTTTCCATTCGAAAGTTTTTTTGTGTATGTGTTACGCGATTGCTTCGGCATTTGTGATCCGATTTTGATGATTCTTTTTTGTTGGAAAGAGGGTACCTCAATGTTCATCATTTCAGCCCGTTAACTTCCACCCAGTATTGGTCCCATTGAAATTTGAAGAAAATATTTCACCTTTAAGGGTGGCAAACTAGGACATGAATCCGGTTTCGTGCACTTTATGGTAACCGATTTGTGTTAATGTTATTATAATTATTTGCACGATGTCTGTGGACAGACATCTTTGATTATTTCAATTTGTGAATAATTGTTTTTGGTTTTCAAAATCTCCGAAAATAATTTTATATTATGTCTACGAAAGTATTTTTTTACTGTTGCATCATTTTGTGATATCACATTTATATGTAAGTATAGTATAATGTGCCAGAAAAATTTATCTAATCAGAGATTTAGGTAAAGGTTCTACTATACAGCCTCTTTATACATAAGAACCTTTTCCTTCTTTTGATGGAAAAAGCGACAAGAACCTAAGTAAAGTAATTTATTAAGAGTCTGTTTTTCAACAGGTCTTCGGTCGAGCGCGGGCTATCTTTGCGTTTGATTTAAATTTCCAGCAGTTGATTAATGAGGCTAGGGATAATTTTGGCATTAAATCTCCTATCAATTTGCTTTTACTTTTAACTTCATCTTCCCGGTTTTAGCGACACTGTCCTTATTTGTCCTAAAACTTGACACAACGAAGTCAGAAGAACGGTTCAATGATCTCAGCGAACTCGCACCTTACCTCATATTGTGTGCAGTTGAAGCAGTGCCAGCAGCAACTCTCGCCCTCTACGTACTGCTTGGCCTGCCCGAGCTCGCACTCCGCGCTGCACACAGAGTCAGGTGGCTCACGTGACTCCAGCTTGAACTGTATCTGCTGCATGTCGAGCTCGAGCTCGCCGTCCAGGTAGCGTCCAACTCGCAACCATCGGTACTGGCCGGGCTCTACTTGCTTGAAGTGCAGGATGTTGTATCTTGCTGGACCGTCACCGTTAGCGTCGAAGTGGAATTCGTCTCCGCTCAAACCTGCACATATATATTTGTCATTAGGTTTTGTAATAAGTGTACATGAATGAGTATGATTTATTTCTTACCTTTAAAACGCACTTGCCGTAAATAACGTAGCAAAGTAGGTCCGTTTATTGGCTTCATGGCTTCACATAGATCCGACGCCTCCCCGCATAATTCGTGGTGCATATCTCTGCGCCAAAACATGCCAGGTGTGATTTTATAATATCTTGTTATAAATAATCAGTAACTTTTATATAGTGGATAAATTGCAAAAGTAGATCACCGGATCGCATATGCAAAGGCAAGAACAGCGTCGGCGACGAACTGCAGTTGCGCCTCGAACTTGATGCTCTGATCGGCAAGTCTTTCGCGGCCCGTACACGCGCGTTTGTACGCGTTATTGTATGGCGTACGCGCACTACCCGGGTACCGGCACCGGAACTGGTCTTCCCAGAATTCTGTAAGAAAGGGATATTGCTTATGTCACGTTTGGTACGGCACTATACAACGAGATTATAAGCACACAGAACAGTAATATTATGCGCTTGCTTTGGTAATTAATGTTGAACGGATTACCGACAAACCAGGGATTCCTGCGGTTGTTCTCAACAGTAAGGTTGAGGAAGTATTCGGTAAAGCCGCGTACAGGGTTGGCTTGTGGCTGCACGCTGATGGTGCCTTCGACAGCGCGTTCACGGCCTTCGGATACGAGAGCGCGCGCGCTCCAGCCGTCGCTGCCCACCCAGCCGAAGGTATGCGTGGCACCACGCCTAGTCACTGCCTCCATCACGCCCGCCACTTCCTGGTCTGACCCAAACACGATTACACCTGCAACATGTCACGCGTCTCATTAGTTAATCATATTATAATGTAGTTAGGAATCTGTGTCTCTTGAAAACGTACCGCGAGCGCGTGGTCTCGTCAGCAGCCGCGAAACGAGTTCGTCGTAAGCGTGAGCATCTGCCTCCCCCGAATCCTTCACAAGCCGCTCCTTTACCGCGATACAAATGTCATTCCGCGCCAACAGAGTTTCCAACTCTTCGAAAGCCTACAAAATAAATATTCTATTTCAATCACGGAACAAAAATAAATTTAAATAAGAAATGAAACTATTTTTCCGGATTTAAATCGCGTATATTTGTTTTTTCAAACAAATCGACGTTTCGGGCCCTTTACAGGTCCCATGATCACGGTTGAAAAAACGAATATACGCGATTTAAACCCGGAAAAATAGTTTCATTTCCTATGTGTAACAATCGCGAAAACCTAAGAACTTCGATAAATTTAAATAAATTCTTATAAATTGGTCACCTTTATGCCGTAGTTAGATTCCTCGTAAATGACCGACACGTAACTCCAGCCAAGCCTCTTGACGATTTCCACCATAGCGCGCACTTGGTGCAGGTCGGATGGTATCGTACGTGTGAAGTACTCGAATCGTGCTTTGTTCGACAGCTCTGGTGACGTCGAGAAGAATGACACCTGCAGCGACGATTTCTTTATTCGTGTCAATGTGTGTACGAATAAAAAATAAGAGTGTGGGCTTTGACTAAATAACACTATATTATCTAATTAGATTATGTTTCTTATTTCAATAATTTCATAGATAATCATAATAATAATATGATAACATTTTTATTTAAAAACCGACCTCCTCGAAAGTTCGTGGAATTGCATCTATTTGCCAAGTTTAATTGAAATCGGTTATTGCGAAGTGTGCGAAGCCGGACTCATCTCCTAGTTTGCAACCCTTAGAGGCGGAATATTTTCTTCAAATTTAAATGGCAGCAATACGGAGATATCCTCTTTCCAACAAAAATAAAGAATAATCAAAATCGGTTCACAAATACCGAGTTATCTAAGCGATACATACATTCAAAAAGAAGTATAGTCCAATTGAGAACATCTTCCTTTTTTGAATTCGGTTTAAAATAGTAGTTTTCATTTCAGTTGTGGTATATTCATATGAAAACAAGTTTTGTACAATGTTAAAAGATCACACACGACGCTTTGAGAGAAAATTTAAAAATAATTTATCTTTATTAACAGGATCAAAATTAAAATTACACAGTAGTAGAGTAGTAGCCCAAATTCAATCTCAATAAAAATGTATAATAAATTAACGGATAAATTTTAAAAATCACAGATTGTGATGAAACATTAAATAGATTTATAAAACAGTTTCTGCTAAAGAAATGTTTTTACTCATAATAAGAATATTTTAATGATTAATTCGTATATATCATCAAAATTAATAAATTAATGATAATATTAAAGATTTATATTAGATTAAAACGGTGATTTGTCTCTATTTCCAGACACTGCTGCGCCCTGTAGGGTTTCATATGTTTGAAGTACCTACACAGAAATATTAATGATACCTACATATCGCATCCTCCTACGTAAAGTATCGTATGTCGAAACTGCCAAGTTTACAGGGGAGCGTTTTAAAGTTCTCCGTTTTATTCGGTAAAGCTCGTTACTCACATAGAGTGATCATCTAATTGATCATCATAAATCATCTAACCGATATCTAGGATTTTATAAAACTCTACGTGAGTAACGAGCTTTTAGAGAAATGCTAAAGTCGTGCTTATTTCTTCAGTGAATTTAGAACTTTAAAAGGCTCTTTAAAAACTTTACGTGGTAGGGGTCGCTGTGAATTGCAATAGATAAATAAATAAAATAATGGGAATTATTTATATTTCAAGGGTATCAAATCTACTTGATTTTTGAAAAAGCATTTGACAAAGTTAACCATGACATTTTTGCCTAAATCCCTATTTGCGCTATATTTATGATTTTTTTCTGCTATAGACGTGCTTGTACCTCGGTAGCACAAAAACGAACATTGTCTGCACGAAGAGGATTGTATTCTCATTAATCACAGTAATGTTGGGTGTATACAGGGATTCCATTTAGACCTTTATTTATCATAAAATGTTGCCGGCCTGACTGCCCCAGAAAGACATTATTGAGAGAGGTATAAAAAAAGTTTAGAATCTCAAATTTCATTTTGACATTTTGTACGCGTTCTAGGAAAATATAAATTTGCCAATGAAATTTGAAAATATAAACGCCATATTCAGTTTCTACTGGAAATGAAACAAAATGCCCCATATTTAGCTTCGACTGAAAATTAATTGAACACAAGTGTAATGGAGTAGTCAATAGTAATAATCGTAAATATTAATTAATTTTTATATATATTATTATGTCGAATTTTGTACAAATTCACTTGTTGAGTTGGGCAGATACATACATACAAATATTACTACAAATGTGAAAATAAGCGTGTACTATAAGAAGCGTAAACTCAAATATCCGTAATTCCGAAAACCGATTTATATTAAAACCGTTACGCTTTCGAGCAATTTTGATGCTTTTCACAAAGACAAAATTTACTTTTGTTTTGTAATCTTCCATTTTGATGCTTTTCACAAAGACAAAATTAACTTTTACGCTTTCGAGCAATTTTGATGCTTTTCACAAAGACAAAATTAACTTTTGTTTTGTAATCTTCCTAAAAAAATACATTTGACATTATCAAAATTTGAGCTAACGTTATTTCGGGCAAATATAAAGGGTGTCTCAGTAAGAGTGTACTTTTTAAATTTAGAATCATTTTTTTTTCGTGCAAGTGGGAACTCTGAAATTTAACAGCCGTCACCTATGTTTATTCCGATTATTAAAAATGGAGCGCTTCACGAAAGAACAACGCGTTATAATTGTGAAAACTCATTACAAAAATGGGGAAAGTTAAAAGTTAAAGCTGAGACCGCTCGCAAACTTCGCCAAATTTTCAGTCGACATAGTGCACCTACTGTGTCAACTATTCGAAGAGTGGTCAAAAAATTTGAAGAAACTGGGTCGATTGTGGATATTAAGAATCCTTTGCGTCAACGTACCGGTCGGTCTCTTGAAAACATTGCTGCTGTAAACGAGAGTGTCGCCGAAAACCCGAAAACATCAATTCGGCATCGTTCTCAGCAACTTCAAATTTCACGAAGCACTATGCAGCGAATTTTGACAAAAGACTTCCACCTTCATGCGTACAAGATTCAGCTAACTCAGGAGCTAAAACCAGCAGACCATGGAAAGCGCCGGCAATTCGTTCAACGGGTAATGGAGCAAAGTGAAGTCGATGCCAATTTTTTGAAAAAAGTCATCTTCTCCGATGAAGCGCATTTTCGTTTGAATGGCTTTCGTCAGAAATTCCTCATGCAATTCATGAGAAACAAATGCACCCACAACGAGCAACTTACTGGTGCGGATTTTGGTCAGGCGGCGTGATTGGGCCTTACTTTTTTGAAGATGAGGCCGAAATTGCAGTGACTGTGAACGGCATTCGTTACAGGAACATGATAACGGAGTTCTTGTGACCTCAACTGGATGGCATGAATCTGGACAACATGTGGTTTCAGCAAGACGACGCCATCTGCCACACCGCGCATGAAACAATCGACTTATTGCAACAACGATTTCCGGAACACATTATCTCACGAAATTCTTATGTCAAATGGCCAGCAAGATCGTGCGATTTAACGCCGTGCGATTGTTTTCTTTAGGGTTTTGTGAAATCTAGGGTTTATGCGAATAAACCAGAAACAATTCCTGAGCTCAAATCAGAGATCCAACGCGTCATCGGTGAGATACAGCCACATCTCTGTGAAAAAGTCATGGAAAATTTCATGAAAAGAGTAATGGCCTGTCATCAGAGCCGTGGGGGCCAGATATTTTATTCCATACATAATCGGAACATGTCTTCTTCAAAATATAATAAAAATATCACAACTCTCTCATAAAATACGTGTTTTTATTTTAAAATGAAAAAGTGCACTCTTACTGAGACACCTTTATTTTCTGACTTCTGATAGGTCCCAAGCCAATCCCAAGCCGTAAAACGAGTACAACAATATTTTGTTATTTATTGCAAACGTTTAATAAAAAGTCATTTTAAAAATAAGATTAAAATCAACGCGGCTCTATAGTTCCTTTGTTCCAAATATTTCAATCGCTTATGTTTCGTACAATTGAAAATGATCAAGAAGTTTATATAAGCTTCTTGAAATACTATAGATATAGACATATAATAGACATAGAAATATAAATAGACATAATTGGTCTCTTTTCATTTTTTGTAGAAAAAGGACAGTTAGCTATTTGATTATTTTGTTTGCTTTTGTAATTTATATTTACGATTAATTTATATATAAATTAAATACTATACAACTGTACAAAATGACAGTTTTAAATTATAACTGTGATTACACAATATATTTGTTTAGTGAAAATATGATACAAAGGCTTGTTTTTACATTTTACTGCAGTAATTTTTACAAGTTATTAGTATATGCTTAGATTATGGAAAATTATACGGTACTGCATAATTGATAACCGCGCTGTCAGTCGAACAAACGAAGACTGTGGCGCGATTGACGCTCTGTATGCGATTTTAACGCCCTATAGGTGCGGACACGGGCGCGGATGACGACTAAGTTATCAATAATTTTCTGTGGACATGTTTATATTTTGACATTGTTTGGGCTTATTGCTGGGCGATTATTATAAACATTTATCAATAAATCAATAAGACTGTTAATCAAATTTACTATATCTAATATGTACATGGTCAATGTATACATAAAATCTTGGTGGGGAATTTTTTTCCACAAATCCCCACTGCGTAGCAAATACTACGATCACAGACCACAGTTTATTCCGTGACTACGTTAGTAGTGTAGTAGGGATTTTTAGTGGATATTTGTGGAACATACCAATTTTGGTTTATGCGATTTCCGACGTGACACGATACTTTGACATAATTAACGAGTGCAAAGTGCGTTTTTGGTTTTAATTTAAATTCTAACCAGGCAAATGAGGCTCGTGGAAGACCAGAGGTAATGACGAGTTGCAATTATTAAAGTTTCTTGCATATTCATTTATTCATTGCATCACATATGGGTAACATAAAAGTTCTTAAAATAATATAAAGTACAGGCACAGCAGAGCACCGCATTTGGTTGATCAACATGATTTGATTAAACTGTTAACTAAATTGATAATAAGTCTTTCGAAAATGGGTACCAGTCGAATTTGCGCTGTCGTAATGTATCATCACTACTTGTAAAGAAAAAATGTTTTTTTTTTAAATTCAAATGTAAGTATGCATTTCACCTTCATCTCATCTGACGGAAAGTGACGATGAGGTCGACGATGGAGCATGTACGTTTAAAGTAATGTCTATTCACTCTTAAAAAATTACCTTAAGTAAAGGTTAAGTTATAACGTGCATGGAACAAGTCTGCAGGCCGAGAATTCCACTCCATAGCCTAAATGTGGAAGCGTAACGCTTCGTGCGAATCTTTGGAATATCCACAATATAGAGGTGGAAACACCTACGCCTAGTCCCCCGGTGATGGAAAGGCGAAGGCGGAATTAAATCGTGTAATTCCATCGCACACTCTCTGTGATATATCCTGTAAAATATCGATAAGCAGGCAACTTTACGGCGGTGTTCAAGATTCTGTAGCAGAGCCATCCCAAAGGTGGCAGCAGAACTCCATACACGACTGGACTTGTGCTTGATACGGCTGAAGCAACTGTCCCGGTGTGAATGTTGTTGCCGGGGAGTCTGTCTTGTGAGCAGATAGCGCGTCTTAGGAGCGGTCTAGTAGAGGACCTGAAGCGAGGAGATGCGCGGGACACGTGATTTGCCCTTTAAGTTGGAAGCTATGTCCAGACATTGTCGCAGGACACTGCGACTGGCATCTTCGGCACTAGCCCTGAGAGCTAGTAGAGGATAAGCTAGAAATCCTCCGATCCCTCCAGTCGCTTAGGTTATTGGGAACTGGAGAGACGTCGTTTTTCGGCGTCGGGAAGTAAGCGTGCCTTACAGCTCCGCCACCAATGAGGAGATTTGGTAGTGGACACAAAGTCGACGGCTAAGCGGTGGCAACCGCTAGTTGTGCAATGCCCAATGGGAACAGAGCGTATCTACAGCTTCGGCCTATCTGGAAAATAGGGAAGGTACTGTACGTGGACCCGGGCCGGCTCACCCGTGGCACTAGCCTCTCGAAGAACCGGATGAAGTCAAGTGACAGAGGTCTGTGACAACCCTGTACACTGGTTGATCTGGGGTCAGAACCTGAGCTTATAAGGTTCCTGTGCGCGCACAGGTTATAGTGCCGTTCTCGTATACCCTCAGGGTCGGTAGGGAGGGTCACTATAATATAAACTAATGTAGAAAGGTATGGGGCTATCCCGGTGTGAAGTAATGCCTCACCCTGGAAAGGATGTCAAGCTTCCTCGCTGCATTTTTGGCCATGGATTCAATGTATCTACCGAAGTTAATTGGATTGATTTATGACGTGGATCAATAGCACAAAAGGATCTCTAATCTTCATACTACAGACCGTAACTCTGAAAAAGGTCAAAATTCATATCGTATTTAACCTATATACATCTAGACGGCGCCTATCAATAGCTTGGAAGTATCGAGTTCTTAGATTTTCGCGATTGTTACACATAGGAAAAGAAACTATTTTTCCTGATTTAAATCGCGTTTATTTGTGTTTTCAAACAAATCAACGTTTCGGGCCTTTTACAGGTCCCATGGTCACGTTTGGCTGAGGTGGTCCAGTCTTCAACCAGTTATGTCTCATATTAATGCAAACCACCCTATTTTTTTACTAAAGTACAAAAGTTATTAATTATATACCTTATTTTTTATTTTGCTTTAGCTTTTATAATATAATATTATATATATTTCTTAAGGATGAAGTTTATTTTAAGTCAACCAAATGCGGTGCCCTGCAGGGCAAACCATGTACATGGCTGTACTTTTTATTATTTTAAGAACTTTTATGTTACCCATGTGATGCAATGAATAAATGAATATTCAAGAAGCTTCAATAATTGCAAATCGTCATTATTCACCTCTGGTCTTCCACGAGTCTCATTTGCCTGGTTAGAATTTAAATTAAAACAAAAAACGCACTTTACACTCGTTAATTATGTCAAAGTATCGTGTCACGTCGGAAACCGCACAAACCAAAATTGGTATGTTCCACAAATATTCACTTAAAATCCCTACTACACTAACGCAGTGGGGATTTGTGGAAAAAAATTCCCCACCAAGACCTTTTTTATATATTAGATATAGTAAATTTGTTTTTTATATTTGATAGATTTGATTTTCAGCGCCAATGTCCCGTCAACATTACGACACAAAGTAATTGCGTTTATTTGTCTTAAATTGAAAATGAACTTTAGAACTTCCTTTAAAATATTAAATTATTCTTGAATGTGTACTCAAACAATTTGCTTATCATCGCCCTTGAACGCGTAAGAAAAATCAACTCGGTTCTACTACAAGGCTATTCAAAATGTCTTGTCGTCTATTTATCATAATATGTAAATATTATATTCTTAACTTCACTTGAGAAGTGCGTTTGATCTTATAATATTAATTACAAAGAGCAAGTTTTTTTAAAAATGCAAAAGATTTTTAGTTGGTTGCATACTGGAATACAAAGATAGCCAATAACAACTTAGTAGAAGCACTGCAAGTAATTTTTAGTGGGGATTTGTGGAGCATACCAAAAAATTACACTAATTTTAATATTATTCATGCTTGATTGCAAAACGAACGAAAAATTACCAAAAATGAAATCAAATAAGAAAAATGCATTAACGTTTTTAATTAAGATGCCTTAACATAATATTTAAGAAAAAAATTTAAACTGAATCTTACACTAATAAGTTTTTTAAAAAAAAAACCGACTTCAAAAGTTTTATTGGATTCGATTACCGGAAAGTGCGCGAAACCGGATTCATTCCCTAGTTACCCTTTCAAATTTAAATGGGATCAATACTGAATTAAAAAAAGAATAATCGAAATCGGTTCAGAAATGCTAGTAATCGCATAACATACATAAAAAAAATACTGTCCAATTGAGAACCTCCTCCATTGTTTGAAGTCGGTTAAAAATAATCTAGGATGATCCCTGTGATAGCTCTTAAAAATCTACAAGATATAACCTTGTAACGACGTACATTAATTTACGTATTTCATAAACTAATTTTATAAGCCTCGCTTTTTAAATGAATAGCTTTTGTTAAAGTAAATACCTACATAAAATTAAAGCAAAAATAACACCAAATCAATTTTTATTTCTAAGATATGAGCCTAAACAGATTTTTTTTCAAAAACTCATTATTTTTACGACAACGTGCAAAGGTTACTTCATTACACTGTATTTGCTAGAGATGAGGTATATTCGATAATTTAATGAATAGTGCGTGTATCTAAGGGTCGTATTCTAGAACTCTACTCAATGCTTAAGTCAGGAAGACTTGAGTATGATTCAAAGCACTAGAAGTCATACTCAAGTCCCTGCCATTAGGGTCGTATTTCCAGTGCTTGTGTTGTCAGTGCAATCCTGACTTGAGCATTGAATAGAGTTCTAGAATACGACCCTTAAAGTATGATTTTAATCATAGACAATGAATTGACATGTCAGTGTTATTGCTTTTTTGATACCAATGTATTAATGGTATGATAAATATTTTTTGAAATTTACTAAAATATCTATTTAAATTGCATTTGAATTATAGTTGTGTGTTTTATGCCTTCAATATGTTACAAAATACTTCACACATCTAAACATCGTTCAGAATAGGTCAGAAAAATGAAACTATAAGAGAGAATTTTTGATTCAAAAATCAAATATATTAAAAATCTATAGACTTTACCTCACCTCTAAGGCTTACATCGTTTGAACTGTCATAGGGATCATCTTAAATCCTAGTTTGAGTTTAGTATAATACGACTTTATTTCATTTCAAAGTGATCAGAACTTTCAAAGGGCAAAATATGTATTTGGTCACGTTATTAATGAAAAAATGTCACAGGATTTTGCTCACCTGTGGGATCTTAAAAAGCCGTAGTAGATTAGCGACTTGCACCGACGTCACGGAGGATGCAGCACCCACTACGCCCGATATCACTTTTCGAACTACTGTGGCGTTGCACGCGTATTCCGCGTCATCAATGTTACTTATTGAACCTGGATTACGAACAAAGTCTTCATTTAAAACGAAGTCAATCAAATGAGTGAGGATAAGTTCATTCGCTCTCTTCTCACTAACTCCAGTGCGTAGTTCCTTGATTTCGAATGAAGAATGGAATTCGATCTCGTTTATATGACCACCGCGAGCACGTTTGGTCAAACAATCGATCTATCGAAGAGGAAGTTTGTTAATCGTGTAATCTCGCTAAATGGGCCACCTCGCTCATGCGATTTGACGCCGTTGGATTACTTTTTATGAGGTTCCGTTAAGTCGTTGGTTTATATCAATAAGCCGACAACGTTAAATTGACTCAGAACAATATCTAACGCGAAATTGCCAACATTTCGGCAAATATGTGTGGTGGAAAATTGGCTCCAAAGAATCGAACACTGCAAAAATACTTTGGTGGTCATATGAACGAGATCGATTCCATTTTTAAATGTAGCATGTGTACTTCACATTGTTGTTGTTGTTGAAGTACAAAAATGTTGTCCCCATTGAAAAACCCCGTACCTTTAATGAAATCGAGGGCCATTTCGAGGCCGTAAGTATCATTGTCGCAATCGTCGAGCACGTGCGCGCCGAGCGTCAGGCCGCGCGGCAGCACGGCGCGCGCCGCGTCTAGTGTGTACAGCATCACCTCCAGCGCCTGCACACCGCCTTGCGCCATCACCGGCCCGCACGTCGCACCCTCCGACCGCCCGTGTACCTGACCACCACATCACAACAATTTGTGCATATTACCACTCTGCTGCTCTAATATTGCAGCAAGTGACGTACTGACCATCATGAGGCCTCCAAGAACAATGTCTCCCTCGACCACGGCGGCGTGTTTCACGGGCCACACGACTCCATCGGCGGCGACATGCGCGGTTCGCCTCGTCGTGTTCGCCACTTCGCGAGTTCCGTCGCTCCTGGACACTGTAGCACGCGTTCCTTTCGAATATTTCGATGCATTCTTCGGTTTTCTTGACTTTTTTCGCTTTAAAACTGATGCCGCAGATTGATTCGCTGAAGGTGTCACCGCAGGACTCCGAAGTTGCTCCGTCCTTGTAGTCGCCAACGTGACGAGGGATCGACGCATTGAAGTCTCTGTTCCTGTGGATCGAATGGGAGGTGGCGACAGAATCACAGGGAGCGGATCTGCAGCACGAAGCGACGAGGAGCTCGGGTGTGAATTTGCTTCCGATTTAGGCCGCGGTTTCTTCTTAAACATATTGGAGATATCGAAGGTGCCGATGAGCGAGTGCGCGTCGCGGCGACTGCGCGCGAATGCGGCCATCAGCTGTGGCTGCAGCGCGGCTTCCTCAAGGGGGTCGTTCCACCTGTCCTCGCGCTCGGCAGCGGGCGCGGCAGCGAGCACGGCGCTTAGCGCCAGCAGTAGTACGCGCATGCCTCTACACGCGCGCGCGTCTTAGCACGCTATGCGAACAGGCGCTGGTTGCCGGGCTCGCCTGATTCATTTCACTTTTCAACCACTGTTTACTATCGCAAACTAATGTTTTTTATTTCGTTTCCCAGCTGCCCTCATTTTGATGCAGCAATGTGCTGATCCTTCGACTAGACTAAGTCTCTTTCATCCCTTCTTGTGATTGTCTGGTAATTAGATGTACGTTCCACATCTTTATTGACGCTGGTGATTTGTTGTTTTTTTTTATATATTTTTTACAACATTAGATTCCTTTTAATTTTGTTTGTTATACGTTTTAATTACCCTAAACTATAAGTTACTAAACTGCATGAATGACCTTCTTGAATTATTTTAGCTTTAAGTACGTAACTTCTGAGATTGTTCGCTCACTTTTTACAACTACAGGTATTTTTTATTATTCAATCTAATTTAAACAGTTTATTGAAGACATAACTTGGCAAAATCAGAAATTACACAAAATTAGTGGTGAGTAACTATATATTTTTAAACTGTAGCCTTTATTATTTAGAATACTGTTTTTATAGGGTCGTTTATTAACACAAACAATAAATCAAATAAATGTGACACTGCATCCAAGAATCACTCGCGTTATGAGAAGCCGACATCGCGCGAAGTTTTGTACACGGCAACACCTGCGACGGCGGGCGACGGCGGTGGCGGCTGGCCGCGGAATGCCGCACGGCACGGCCGCCGCCGCGAACGCGATATAAGTATCAGATGTAACGACTCACAAAAGTTTAAATGTTTATTGAGACTTGCGCTTTAAGAGAATTGAATACTGCCACAAATTCATATCAGCTGTGTCACTATGGCAGTTTACAGAAATGCGAATTAAATCATGCAGAAACGACATTGCACTGTTGCTTCGTAGATCTATAGCGTACCTAGCGTAGCAAAATATATAATACTAGTATGTAAAATGTATAAGTTCTTAATGTTGTTGTATTCCTTACGGAGAAGCAAAGCTAGGAACGTCCCACAATATTCGTAGCACTCGTCTGTAGCTACGGCTATAGATGAGTGCTACGAGCTATGTGGAGCTACGGGTCAGTGCAGTTCTGTAGCATTAACTACAAAAGCGTAGCACTGTTCTTCGTTTGTTGGCAACGATAATAGGACAAGCCCATTTTGACGTTATTCCGTAGTATTTTATGCAATCATGGCATAATGAGGGTTCTGAAGTCGATTACCGTTGCTGAGTGTAATGATTGCATACAATACTTTTTATACGAGTAAATCAAATTAATGAAACATCCAATATTTAAAGATTATTTGTTAACAATGCACGACAACAAACTTGAACGAAAGCCAAAGAAACAAGTCGTGCGCCTGATGGTGAACTACACGCCTGTCTATAACAGTTGCAGTGCCACTCAGAGCTTTAAATCGCAAAGATCTGAGGGGCTCTGTCTCTGCGCCCGTCACCTTGAGACATAAGTTGACAAGACCCATGTGTCTGTAATTTCACCATAGAATAGAAAAGTAGAGCGTTTGAGTGGCGTCATATTTGATGTTTATAAATATTGTTTTCAAATAGTTATTATCGTTACGCCTTTATACCAATTATGTAACATTTTGAGATATTATTTAATAAAATAATTAGAAGTTTAATAATGTCACAAATATAGTGACGTTATTCTGAATAGAAACATAGTGACGCGTTTAAGGAGACTCTTTTCAACATTCATCACTCACACATTCAACAAAAATACGACGTTTTTATTTTGAAACTCATAGTTCTACAGTTTCAAAATAAGAACGTCGTATTTTTGTTCACTAAAATTGGACACATAGTGTAGAGAACCACCAGGACTATGTAGACATATGTACCTTTAATATGTTTGTATGCCTAATATTTGTCCGGACACAGTAAAGCTAGACTTATTTTGTTACTGTCAATGTCTATACCGCCTGTATTTCCATAATATATTTCGTACTTGAAACCATAATACTGTTATAAATCGAAATTGTGGAATTGATAAAACACAATTTGACAACCAGTTAAAAAAAACAGATCTTATTGCGAATAATGTGATTGTTTTTATTTACACGTGATAATATTTAATTATCCTTTTATCAACGAGTATAGTTCATTTAGTTTTTTTAATTCCACAATTTTGAGTTATGACAATATTTGGTTTCGTGTGTTATTTATTTAATGCACTAGTTTTTTTATTTAATTTATTTAATGAGGTTCAGCAATTGTTACATCGATACATGTAGATTTTACATTGATAACATTGACTTACAATTATATGGACGTCGGGTCCGCGCTAAAAAGTGTCCGAACTTATAGGGCGTTAAAATCGTATACAGAGCGTCATTCACGCTTTAGTCTTCGTTTGTTCGACTGACAGCGAAGCAAGCAAAATTAGACAGTACTGCGATGACATTACAATTTAAATTCACCGTTTTAACTTTTTCATATTCCTTTACATGTCACTACGTTTAAATAGGTTGACTGCCTCGGTGGCCGAACGGTTACCATTGCCACGCAGAGGTCCCAGGTTCGATTCCCGGGCCGGGAGAAATAGTTGTATGGCCTACAATTATTTCTCTCGTGAGTTTGGGTGTAATTTGTGGTTGTCTATGTATGTGTCCATGGCACCCGCGACGCAGGGTTTCCCTAGTGCGGGGCTATGTTGAGTGTGTGCGTTACTTGGGACATTTTTTTCGTGGTTTTTGTATTAGACCCGTCGTCCATTTATTTGTAAGTCAATGATTGATAACGGTGTTTTTTTATTTAAAGAAGAAACATATCTTGCATTAAATTGAGCAGATAGTCTTAATATTACAGTGTATACAGATAAATAAACAAGAACAAACTGAATATAACGATAAGAATAAAAAAATATATAAATGTAAGGATTAAGTGCAGTATAAATTTTTGGAATTAATTTTAAAAATAGTGCTTTGTTTACTTGCTAAGGATTGCCTTGTTATCGAGTCTGTGAAAACTGCTGTTGCACTATTTTATAGTGTAGTCTGTACAGACGGCAGACCGGTGAGTTGAGACCCAATTTAGTTCTCTTGTTGGTAAGAGCAACGATCTTATTACGGAGTATCGAAGGGGAACGCTAAGTTTAAACATTGATGTCAGTTGTGGGTAGTTAGTCTTGTGAGTAAATAATTTGTGAAAGAAGGCTAGGTCCAATAGACCAACTAGATCTGCCCAGCGCTTTTTGAGTGCGCAACACAGTACAGCAGCATTTCGTGGCAGTTTTCGTTATGCCGCCACGAAATGTTGGAATAATATTCCACCACCTTTTAGAAATTGTCACACTGTAAAATCTTTTAAATTTAGATATAAACAGTATCTTTTGAATCAACAGAAATTAACTTAGCCTGTGCTGTGTTGTATAGATGCAATATTGGCATTTACTTAGTGGGTTCCTATAATTTACTCTATTAATATTACATTATCCTGCAATACCAATGAACATTTAATTTAATATTTTTACCATTAACTGTTAAGTATTTTATTACATCATATTGAGTTCGTACTTGTCACCATATATTATATGGTTCGGCGTGTCGTTGCAGCGCGTACTGGTACTTCCTAACTGGCCGGTGTCTCCGGAAGACCAGCGTTGGGGTGTTGCAATATGCCTCGACTAATGCTGAGTAGACGTCGGTTTAGCGTTATACTTATATCTAGGCTTAAGAATGTAAAATTTGTAAATTGTAATATGGCATAATTATGACGCTAATAAACAATTTTTCTTTCTTTCTTTCTTTCTTTCTTTCAATAGAGCTCTGCGGATTTCAAGTGAGATTGTTTAGAATTTTTTTTAATCTCATTTTATAAGAGTTTAGTTATAAATTACGCTTACTATAATGTTATTTAGTGAATGAAATCTAAGTTCGTGTGTTTTTGTGTTCTACTTTCGATAACGTGTAAAGATGTTGTCGCAGTCGGTGACAGCGATAATAATTGTCACTGGAAGAGAAAATTCAGTAACTTGGCGGAAACAGCCCTAACGAGGAAGCAAGGAGCGACATGCGATATGTGACATCATCAAATGATATATGACGAATAAATAATAATATGAAGAAAGGAATAAAAGCTACGTGACTAGCTTTCCCACAGATATATAGCAATGGATTTAGGGTAAAGAAGCTGTTGTACGTGAGCATTATCATATTATTATAACTCTGAGTCGCGGGTGCCATAGACATACACATCTTAGAATAATAACGCATAGAAACCTAGTCCGCACACGCTAATTGAGGCAAATGGAAACGCTCCCAATGGGCCTGCACGAGCGGGCGGTCCGTCAGTGCTCAAGTTCAACTTGCACCGCGAACAGAGCAAGAATTTTAGCTAAAAATGACGAAATGTGCGGTAAATGAGTGTAAAAATACGTCAGACAAACATAAAATAGATACTAACATCACATTCCACAAGGAAGTAACGCGTTTCATCTTGTGTTTTTATATAGATATTCACTAAAACCGAAAATTAACCTACTACTAAAACTAGCCTACATGAATTTGATTTTTGCCTCACTTGTGACAGTTCGTTTGATATGAAACTATCATTCTATGCGTTATTATTCTAAGATACACATAGACAACCACAAACTACACCCAAACGCAGTAGACATATGAATGTAGGCCATACATATATTTCTTCCGGCCTGGGAATGGAAACCGGGACGTCTGCATGTCGACCGTTCGGCCACGGAGTTTTTTTTTTCATGATTACTAAGTGATGGTAAGCGACACCCTTGTCCATAACAGTTGCAGTGCCACTCAGAGCTTCAAATCGCAAAGTGTTGAGGTGCCCCTAAGACATAAGTTGAAAACTCTAATGTGCCTGTAATTTCAATATAATTAAAATTACAATGATTACCACGTTTTTGGATGCCCATTGGGGTAGGCAGAGAAATCGATCGTTACTTTGCATGATTTTGACAAATCTCTCTAGCCTCTCTAGAATTCATCAATCAAGTGAAATT